ACAAATTTACTAGGATTTTCTCTCAAAGATAGGTATCACGAGAACCCAAAATGGTTACCAAAAGATAATGATAGAGTTTTACAATTTTGATAGAATGAAGAGATAAACCCTTACACAAAGGCAGAGGCTAGACAAGAAAATTTGCACAAAGCAAAGGCAGGTTTCTCACAAAGCAGAGAACGTTTTTTTACTTCTTCCAAAAGGCACAAAGCAAATAATTTTTGGTGTATTTAATAGAAACTGAGAGGCTTCAATTTATAGGCAGAGAGTTCAACGAATTTCCCAGGATTTTTTTTCAAAGATAGATATCACGAGAACCCAAAATGGTTACCAAAAGATAATGATAGTGTTTTACAATTTTGAAAGAGATAAACCCTCATCACTTTATCTCCAATAAGTTGGGTATTGAGCATCTAGTCTAATGGGCTGATTTCCTCTGAATACTTAACAAGATTTGGGCTACATCGTTTGTGGTGTGGATCTTAATATTCTTCAATCCCGAACTTATAGCCTATGAAGTTAAATGGGCCAAGGTTTTTCATCATTACCTAGGGTTTATTTGGGCCACGATTTTGGAGAATGACACAGGCACACAAAGGCAGAAGATGGACATGAGAATTTGCACAAAGCAATGGCAGGTTTCTCACAAAGTAGAGAACTTTTTTTACTTCTTCCAAAAGGCAAAAAGCAAATAATTTTTGGTGTGTTTAATTGAAATCGAGAGGCTTTAATAGGCAAAGAGTTCAACGAATTTCCCAGGATTTTCTCTCAAAGATAGATATCACGAGAACCCAAAATGGTTACCAAAAGATGATGATAGAGTTCTACAATTTTGAAATAAGGAAGAGATAAACCCTTATCAGTTTATCTACAATAAGTTGGGTATTGAGCATCTAGCCCAATGGACTGATTTCCTCAAAATACCCAACAAGATTTGGGCTACATCGTTTATGGTGTGGATCTTAATATTCTTCAATCCCGGGCTTATAGCCTATGAAGCTAAACCGGCCACGGTTTTTCATCATTGCCTAGGGGTTATTTGGGCCACGGTTTTGGAGAATGACGCAGGCACACAAAGGCAGAAGTTGGACAGGAGAATTTACACAAAGCAATGACAGGTTTCTCACAAAGCAGAGAACGTTTTTTTACTTCTTCCAAAAGGCACAAAGCAAATAATTTTTGGTGTGTTTAATTGAAACCGAGAGGCTTTAATTTATAAGCAGAGAGTTCAACAAATTTCCTAGGATTTTCTCTCAAAGATAGATATCACGAGAACCCAAAATGGTTATCGAAGCATAATAATAGAGTTCTACAATTGTGAAAGAAGGAAGAGATAAACCCTTATCACTTTATCTCCAATAAGTTGGGTATTGAGCATCTAGCTCAATAGGCTTGTTTCCTCTAAATACCCAACAAGATTTAGGCTACATCGTTTGTGGATCTTAACATTCTTCAATCCCAGGCTTATAGCCTATGAAGTTAAACGGGCCACGATTTTTCATCATTGCCTAGGGGTTGTTTGGACCACAGTTTTGGAGAATGACATAGGCACACAAAGGCAGAAGATGGACAGGAGAATTTGCACAAAGCAAGGGCAAATTTCTCACAAAGTAGAGAACAGTTTTTTACTTCTTCCAAAAGGCACAAAGCAAATAATTTTTGGTGTGTTTAATTGAAACCGAGAGGCTTCAATTTATAGGCAGAGTGTTCAACAAATTTCTCAGGATTTTCTCTCAAAGAAAGATATCACGAGAACCCAAAATGGTTACCAAAAGATAATGATAGAGTTTTACAATTTTGAAGAAGGAAGAGATAAACCTTTATCACTTTATCTCCAATAAGTTGGGTAATGAGCTGATTTCCTCTACATACCCAACAAGATTTGGCCTAAATCGTTTGTGGTGTGGATCTTAATA